GCCTTGAAGTGAAGGTCTGAGCCTTGGAATCGTTGATTGGGCTGGGGTTTGTAGGAGTGGTTGTGCCTTGGGATCTTGTGTGTGCCTAAATGTCTTTGGCTTTCTCCAGCTGAATGAGTTTCTTGAAGAGAAGATAGAATTGATAGAGATGTGCTGTCAGTCTTATGGGCCTTACTCAGGAGTTGTGGCTCAGGTGATTTCAGCTGTGCTAGAAAAGGAACGCAGATATGCCAGTGCACTGAATCCCTTTTGGTTTATGCCTGAATGTTTTGTTTTCACAGTAATTACTAAACCACGACTCGTTCTCCTCTGCACAAAGCCATTTGTCTCCTGTTGAACAGTAACCTTTTATTTGCTTGTGCTGTGTAGCAGAGCTCAAGGACATGTTTACTAATGATAGCCAAAATTTCACCAGAACAAGCTTCTCCCTTGTCTAGGTTTTTCCATCTTGATTTAAGTGGTTAAACCTCAGGGAAGGGATGGGAAATAGCCTTATGTGCAAGGATACAGGTGGGGGTTTGTGCTGTTCTTAGTCATGGAGTGAAAGCTCCCAACTCCATGGGTTTAGAGTACTGCATGTCCTGGATGTAAAAACACTGCTGTGAGGGTCTCACCTCTACCCAAGTATTTGCATTGTCAGCAATCTGTCAGACCTTGCTGTGTTGCTTGCTCACACTTCACCTGCTTAGTTATAGATTTGAAATTAAAACCCAACAGAATCTGTTCTTTTTCCCCTTTACTCAGTGGTACGTTGGGCTATTCCTGCCTCCCTTTGATGTTGGGGAGAGGAGATAATAGGAGTGGGGTTTGGCTGGACGCTGAGATGTGCAACTGGGGAAGGGCTGTTGGCTGGTTTAATGTGGATTTTCAGATGCCTGCCTTGGATCTGAACTCAGGCTGGCAGGGGCTGTGCTCCCATGGAGGGCAGAGGACAGCTTTGTGCCTTGAAGATTTGACGACCTTTGTTCATTTGAAACGCCCTGTTTTTTTATGCCACTCAACAGGAGACTTTTTAATTTACTTCACTGGGCCTGGATGCCGGAGGTGGATGGATGGCTGATGGAAGTGAGGAAATAGATGGGAGAAAAAGAACATTTTCTCCTGGGCTGTTTTTATGCACAATATAGCCTAGGGGTTAGCAACACAGGGGAGAGTGAAAAAACCCTGCAGAGCCTGGGTCAGAAAATATAATTTTCATGGGAACAAAATGCTTTTAACTTGCTACATCAAAGACCCTCCATTCCAGAGCATTCTTTGTGTTTGAATACATCTGCATTCCCCTAGAACTCTGTATGTGAATGCACGAGTATGTCGTGTGTATCTACATGTGAGTGTATATTTGCACATGCATTTATGATCTGAAAGCTGTTACTGCCCACCTTGGAATAGCTCAGCAGCTGAAACTACTTCCAGCAGGAGTCAAAAGCAAAAAGCTGTTTGGCTCCAAAGCACAGGTCTGTAGCTGGAACACCTGCCTAGGATTGATGTGTAAAAAGCCCCTCTGGCTCCTGTCTTGGAAGCCCACCTTGACTACATTCATTACAGCATCACCTCTGGCAGGTAAGAGAGTGGAGGTGAGCAGGAGGCTGCACGAGCACGTGGCTCTGTGCTTAACCAGGGTCCTATCCATTTCTGTCACTACAGGATGAAGAATGGAGGTTGGAAATAGGCAGCAGCTTCTGTAAGCACTTAACATTCCTGATTTCATTTGTCTTTGATCTCACTTGGACTAATTTTACTCTCTTCTGATCCCTTCCCTTGAAGGGGCTTTTATCTCATTGTCAGGCTTGCTAATTTAGTGCGGTGTTTTGAACCAGAGCTCCTCCTACGTTTCCAGAGCCTGGAAGGTAATTTTTTTTTTTCCTTAATCAGGGAGTGTTTGTGGAGTTCTTTGAACATCTTGGGACAAAAGTCATACTGCGGCTTTTTGCAATGCCAAGTCTGCACTCTGGACCCTACTGCTCAACTTCTGTATGTGCAAATGGCTTGTCACCAAAAACTTGCAGTATTTTGGGGCCAAAAGGGCAGGAAGGAGGGCTGGATGATTTAGGACAGGTCAGAGCAGTCTGGCATTGGGTGGGAACTTCATTTGCTCAGCTGGAGGCCTTCCCAGCAGGCTGTGTAAATAATAAACAAAGGGGGGTGGTCACACATGTTTGACCAACCAAGTAGAAGCTTGGATCCCGGTAGATTTTGACTTTGGGGAAAGGAACTGGGTGATTTAGGGATATAGAAACATCACCACATGTTTTGAAAAGCAAATACTTTTTTTTTTTTTTTTTTTTTTTTTTGTGATAGAAAATGTGTTCTGTTCTTATTCTGGTACAAGCAGGTTGAGTTGATTTTTTAAGGAGTTGAAGTTTGAGAGGCTGATAATTGCTTCTTACCGTGGGAAGATGCACTGCAGATCCTTTCTCTATTCCTGGCTGTCCCCTTGCACTTTACCTTTGGAAGAGGAGGAGTATTTTCAGCAAAATGCCATTCTAATTGCTGTCTGAAGAAACTAGAAAATAGGACAGATATACAGGCTGTTTTCCCAAGTGATGAACAGGAGCTTCTAAAGATGACAAGTGTACGGAAAGGCAAAGAATGAAGACTTTACCCAACAAAGTTTCAAATCTTTTGGAGTAAGCTCTGTGTCACACAGCTCAGCCTTTGCTGTAGCAGCCCTGCCTCCACAGAGGTGGTGTGTGCACACAGGCTGCCTGAGCCCTGGTGACATGCTGCCAGCAGCAGCTGCTACAGGGACATCCCTTTGGAGAAGTGTCTGTGCCACTGCTCCTCCATGGATGAGAATTCTCAGGGCTGGGGGTTCTCATGACAGCATCTGAGCATGCCTCCTGTCCTGAGCTCAGCTGAGTTTTCTCCAGCTGTTAACCCTCTCCTGTGCTTGTCCATGTCACCTGCACAGCTATTTGGTGTGCTGAATTTCTCACTACTCGTACAGTTTTTTATTACCATCTGTCTTGCATGAAAGGCTTCCAGGGGCAGTGTCTTTCCAGTACATCCTGGGCAGCCTTTCAGCCTCATGTTCCCCTGGGAACCATCCATCCTCCTGGGGAGCCACTGAGTTCTTTACCTTGCTCTGATCCTCAAAGGACCAATCTGCCCTAGTAGACATGAATGGGCAGAATTGCCCTACAGGAAGGCTCTTGGTGACATTTGCCTGACCTGGACCTGCCAGGGCAGTGCTGGCTGACAAATCTAGGAATTCCATTGTGGTGTGTACACACTGGAGCTCAGGGATGTCTGCTACTTCTGCCTGTACTTTCTCCTTGCAGAGTGTGAGATAGCAGCATGGTGGAAGCATCCATGTGGGAAAACCCCAAATCCAGGGGCTTGCAGGTAGCTCTGTGTTGGCAATGGCTGCCCTTTGTCACGGAGCACAGTGCCTGGCTGTTGTGCTGCCTGAGACATGGGCATCTCTGTATCCTGCTGTATTCGTCTCTGGGACATTGCCCCCTGGATGTCCTAGAGAAGGTGACACAAGAGGGTCTGTTCTGTCCCATAACAGTGGCAGTCAACAGGCAGGGTTCTTGTGTGGCCTCCTGGTCACTGAAGGGACAGAGCTGGCCAACACCAAGTTCTCAGTGGTCGTTGTACAACCCAGCAGCAGTGACAAACCTGACAAGTTCCTGTCCCCACGGGCACCGAGTTGGCCATGCATGGGGACAGGGTTAGGCCCTTCCTTCCAGGGCCACCTGCGGTTTCCAGCACACGCCTCGAAATAATTCCACCTCCCTGCATATGTAATTTTGCGTGTCATTGCCCCTAATTGCATGCTTAACACACACTCTTTTTAAAGTGCAGCCCTTTTATCAGCAGTAGGTAGTAGCAGGTTTAATAGGGTGTTTGAATTCCTATAAAATTAATCTGTAGCCTTCTGCGATAGAGACGGGCAGGGAGCCATGTGGTTCATATCCAGTGTTGATAAACTTGTTATAGAGGCAGGAAACATTTCTGATTGGAGCAGTGACAAAATAATTTGGAGCAGAGCCATAAAAAGAGTGGATGGTGATGGTTTGAGCACAGCAGAGATTGAAATTGCTGGTGTGTGGAAGCAGCACTGCCAGCTAACATTGACTTAGTGTCTCTGGAGAACTCTAACGGCAAATGCATTTTATTAATGGCAATATTCTTTTAGGAAATGCTGAGCATTGTTTCAGAGGTGGAGCCCCCTCGAGTACGTGGGTTTGGAAGTCGGCCAGACCAAGATCTGTTCAGCTGAGCTTGTTGCTGGTCACTGCTCTGGCCTGGCTGCAGCAGGAAGGTTGCCTAAGGGCATGTGCTGGGTACTGTCTGCTAACAACTGGAATATCCTTTTCTAGTGCAGAAAATGCATCCATCCATTCTTGCTCTGGATTCACCTGTATGGGATAAAATGCTCAGAGACAGCAGGTCATGTTTTTAACTGTTCTTTTATTGTCTTTCCTTTGAAATGTGTTTCCCAGAACATGAACGTTAGTGGGAGTTGTTGCTTTCTCAGCTGGACTTGAGCTCTTACTGCCAGTAAGAGGGGGAGCTGCTCTAACTAGATTGTGGTCATTGGCATTGGAGTGCCACATTGGGCTTGATACTTTTCCTTGCACTTAATTGTGTTGTGGGGGTTGATCAGCCTTGGAGGAGGCTCTGATGTGCAGGTGAGAGGGGAGCCTGCCACGGCCAGCCATGGTACTGCATCTTCTGGGCTTGCTCTTACTGATACCACCTCTTCACCTCTTTCCAGCTGCTTTCTGCTTGAATCCAGCATGGAAACAAGTGTGGACAGCAGGGGTGGCAGCTGGGTCCGTTGAGGAGAATGGCAGAAATGGTGCAGGTTGTATAGCCATAGGGATGGGGGATGGAAAATGCAGCACACAGGAGGCATGGATTGTGCTGGTCACCCAACAGGGCTGAATTTCACCTGATACCTCCAGCCATGGTTCCTTTGCTGTGTAAAACTGGGATGTGATTCAGTCAAGGAAGGTAACCCTCACTGCCACACTGTCTTTTCTTTGCAGGGAGGCTGTCGGAAGGGGATTCTCTGGAGCTGAGCTGTAGTGCTGGTCCTGCAAAGGTGATATTGGAGCCAAACCAAGTGGTGATTTTGGACTGTAACCTGACCCCTGTTGAGCAAGTGATCAATATCACATGGAAGAAGAATGGGTTTCCATTAGTGGAGCAAGAACATCTCCATGTGCTTCCAAATGGATCGCTCTTCATCTCATCCCAGGCTGTGGCAAAGGACAGTAAATATCCTGAGAGGGATGGTGCTGAGGGCAATTACTCCTGCGTGTCTCACACCTCCCTAGGGACTGTCACCAGTCAAACAGCTGCAGTCAGATTTTCAAGTAAGTGTTCTGGGGGTTTTGTTCATTTCCTTTCCTTCCCCTCCTGGTACTTGTACAGAAATCTGCTTCCCCAGGAGCTTGAGATAAAAAGTCTGTGAAATAAAATCATAATAATGATGTATAGATGGGACTGGGGATAGTCCATAAATAAGCAGTGGTGTTTTCCTGTTATCCCACTGTTAACATCCTGTGTAACTCTCCCAGGTAAGTGTCATCAGTACGAATTAAAAACAGAGCCCTCCTCTTTCCAAAAGACAGTGCTTGTTTTTGCAGAGAACCTCAGAGCCCTGAGTGCAGCACCCTGTGCTTGGAGACATGGCTGTGGGGGGGTCTGGCTGTGGCAGCTTGTGAGGTGAATATCTCTGTATGGAAGAGATGAAAGAAAGGGTTCTTCAGGGCAGTTTTTGTTTGGATTGAGAAGGACACTCCAAGATCTGAACTGCTGAATCTCTGCACAGAGTTCAAGAATAAAATTCCTTTCTGTTCAGGCTTGGCTCCTGGGGGCTATTTTAAGTGAGTGCAAATAAACGATTCCTTGACCTGCCAAATAGGTGAGGCTAGAAAATAATGCAAATACAGTAACACTTCTCTCTACTACAGTGACTTATGTATGTTAAATGTTGCTAAAAACAGCTGCACAGGCACACCATGGGAGTTGTGGGGGGGTGAAGGTGCACAGATAATGTCCTGATACCCCCTTTACATTGGAATGTTTTTAGGCTCTGGTACCCCATCCAGGTTTGGCCAAGGGAGTGTGCTGTAGAAACCAGAACTGCTGGGGAAGCTTTGCCAGATGAGGGGAGAATCTTTGACTTTTGCAACATGTCCTCCTTTTCTACTCAGAAAATGTTTAGCATGCAGTCAGGGATCCTGCACACAGGTATTGTTTGGGAGGAGCTGTCATTAGTCCAGGTGGATTTATTTAGGTGCCCCTGCCTCAGTCCCAGACAGCCTGAGCTAGGATATATTTATTCCCTTTTAGGGGTGACTTATGTTGAAGTGTGTGCTGTGTCTCTTGTGCAGTGGCAATGGGCTGTGTCTCTATTATGGTCCTGGGTTTATTGTTTGGTGTCTTACGAGTTAGAACAGTGGAGACATCTCAAAATGGGGAGGCTGACTTAAATTGCCCTTCTCTCCTCCTGGATTTTTCCAGAAGAGCATAAATGGGTGATGCCTCTCTCCATCCCCTTCTGTGTTTGTCCCAGAAATGGGAAATTTCAGGTGAACTCTTTCCTTGTGTGTACTTGAAGGTCTCCTGTTATTACCATCTGCACAGGGAAAATGCTGTTTCTGTGGCACACACATGCACCTGACATAACCTATCCATTTCTGAGCAGGGAGCAGCAAGAGAATTGATTAATGAAATGCATCTCTCACTTCGATTTGTTCCAAGGGCTGGGCAGAAGCACTTGCTCCATTAGCATTCAGCTGGAGCAAGTGAGGATTGTAAAGGCTTGGGTTTTTTCATTTTTTCCCCTGCCACTGAACATGGTCTGTCCAAAGCTGGATGGAGTGGATGGACTTATTCTTTGTGTTGATTGCCTTGGGGACTGCTAGTCAGGACAGGGCAGTAGAAGAAAACCTGTTCAGCAGGTGGGATGTGTTATTCCTGCCATGAGCTTGTCCTTCTGACCTGCAGGTCCTTTCCTTCCCTGGAATGGGGTTCCCATGCAGGGCTGTGGGGCTCTCTGTGCCACTGAGTCTTGCAGTAACAAGTGGGAGCATTGGGTATTCATAGCACCTCCCTTGCTCAGTACTGGTTTGGTGCTCTTGGTGTCATCTGCTGTGTTTCAGGCTTGTGGGAGTCCACTTGTCCCTGAGAGCCCAAGAGCAGCTCTGGCACCTCTGTGTAAGGGCTGCCGGCTTCCCAGTGGAGGGAGGGGAATGCTCCAGGCAGCAGTCAGCCCAGAGGCTGGAGGAAGCCTTTTGGAGCAGTCAGGCTAGAGTGGTGGAGGTTGAATGGCATGTGAAGGCTGTGACAGTGTGAGGACTTCCATCCTTCCACTGTGGTCCAGGAACTCAGCTTGTTGGCATTTTGCTGAATAAACATATGGCTCACTGCCCAGTGTTCCCTGGCACCCTGTGTGCCACAAAGGGACCCCTGCCCTGGTCCCTGTCCACAGCTCGTGGCAGTGGTGGCCATGGCAAAGGGGGAGGAGCAAGGCTGTGAGGGCTCGTGTGCCTGTTAAACAACCAGCTGCTCAGGCTGATAAACTGGGTTTTCCTGCAGCTTTTCCTGAGCCCCGCGTGCTCTCACATGGAAGTACCAGGGGCATTATTGTAGTTGTGGGAAGGTGTAGCTTTCTACCTGTTAATAACTACATTGATGAAGATTTGTTAAAGCTTTTAATTTAGCTTAAACATTTTGTGCAAGGGAGGTTGTAGAAAATTACAGTAATTGTGCCTGTCAGATGAAGACATTTGCTGTGCCTGGAGGGAATGGGCCAGCATTGCATGGCTGCTGGCAGGGAGCACGGGAGAGGTTTGGAGTGTTCCTGCACCTGGAGGGACAGGCCACAGCAGGAATTAACACACAGGATCTCTCATCATCCTCTCTCCACACGGACAGTGTGTCTTCTCTGTGGCGCCCTGCGGGTCTGGGATTTGAGAATGGCAGACTAGGATTTGTTCTTACTTTAAGGATTTATTTTATAGATTCTATCCTATTTATTTTGTGAATTAGGGGCATAGGTGAGTGAAGGCCAGGGACTGTAAGCAGAGCCATGCTGGGCAGAAAAACTTCCTGCAGATGAATGCACAGGCCCTGGACCATCCATGACTTTAGATGTGGATTTAGATGCTGTTTTGGGTAGGTGGGGAGCTGGCTCCTGTGGAGAGCAGGAGCAATCCTGTGCTGCCATATGGCCCCGCAGACGAGCGCTGTGCTGGCTGTGCCTGCGCCGTGCCGGGGGGGCCGTAGCAAATTGCTCCCACCACTTTCTTAGCGTGTTCCCCTTCCACCCCCAGCCTGTTCAGAGGTGAGTCGTTCAGAGGGGGTAGCCTGGGTGGTGTATGAGATCTGAGTGGGGGCTGATGTTCCCCTCACCTTCGAAATACCTCCTAATAATTGTCGAAGGTACAAAGAGGACGAGCACGCGGAGAGTCTGGGGGCAAAGCGCTGTGGGAGAGAGCAGCGAGCCCCTTTCAGAAGGCTGAATTCCTTGCATAGACTGCATTTTCTGCCTGGGGTGTAGTGTTGCTGGCTGGCAGCCTTTCCAAGCCCACAGCCTCCTGCACGGATCTCGCTGCTGGGAGAGGGGGAGGGTGCTGTGTTTCACCATCCTGCAGTCACCCCTGGGCTCAGAGCTAAAAGCCTGGCACACACGGCTTGGCTCCAGCTGGGTTTAACATGTCAGTGGGGAGGGAGCTGCCTGCCCCACTCCTGGAGGTGCAGAGCCCGGTGCTTTGGCTGTCGCTGAGGGCAATTTGCTGTAATGCTCTTCACCTTCTCACCTGCAGTGGGTAATTTTTACTGAGTGGCCTATTAAGGTGTTCAGGATAATCAGTGCAATGGGGCTGGGAGGTTTTGTGACTCAGGATGGCTTTGCAAGCTAAACCTTAGCTGAGAAGTTGAAAATAATGTTGAGTATGTGTCGTCTTTGTCTGCCTTTTCCCCTCAAGCATCTCCTTTCGCTGCCTCCCTGTGGGAAAACCTCTCACTTTGCAGCACTTCTGCAGCAGCAGAATTCTTCTGCCCGGGATTTGTTTGTGGGAGGAGAACAGCCCCTCCAAGGATCCTGTGGCCCTAGGGTGAGCAGTGTGTTGGAGCCTGTCCTGCACTTGTTGTGACCCGCACGCACGTCCGTGCAGAGTGTCCAAGTGACAGGACCTGCTCTCCAGTCCTCTCCTCCCTTGCCTGATTCTTTTTCCTCCCAGCCCCAGCTGTTTGCAGCACTGCTCTGAGTTGCACTGGAGGTGCTGTGCGTGTCCTGCCTCATCCATTCCACCCTGGTACTCCTGAGGATGAGAGGAGGAGCACAAGGGATCGCAGCATGCTGTAGTGTTGGCCCCAAGCTGGTGCAGATGCTTGTGGAGCAGTGATGAGCCCAGCCAGCAAGTCTGTCTCTGCCTGACCCTTTCAGGGCTGACATCCATGGGTCTTGCTCAGTGCTGCAACAAAGGAACTTTCTCACTTCTCTTGCTTTGATTTGGTGTTACTAAGATCCCAGTTGAAGTTCCCTGTCCTCTCCTTCACAGAGGACTCTGCAGGCTGCTTCTTTCAGAGCTTGCAGGGGTGATTTTTTCCAGCCCATCTCTATGCCTACTATCCCTAACCTTGTGCTGTGAAAGGAATATGATGGAGGTGCTCAGCCTCTGAAGCCCACCCCAAGAGTTCTGAGATGGTTTGCTGGGCATTGCCATGGCAGAGCCCCCAGCCCCCACAGAGCTCTCAGCCTGCTGTGAGACAAAGCCATGGCTTTGCCAGGAGCTGTGACTCCCCTTGGGAAGTGTGGCTGTTCCTATGTGCTCCAAGAGGGACACTGTGCTCCCTAATCAGGGGCACTGTTTGGTCACACTCCTCCACATCCTAGTGAGGTTCTGTCAGGGGTGCTTTTCTTGGCTTTTGAAGAGCCATTTCAGCACAGTGGGCAGAGAGGGCTGGGTAGAGGTGAAGGGCAGGATTTGGTTCTCAGCTGGGAATTTAAAACTTGCAGGACCAGGTCTGGCAGGTGATAGCCATGAATAACCAGGACAGGTTATTGCCTGATGAGCTAGGGAGCCCAGGAGGCTCTGTCACCTTTTGTACACCAAGCTGATGCCACTTAATAATGAGGAGCAGAGAGACAGGTGATGCTGCGTGAGGCGGAGGAAACAGAAATGCTGACAAATTTCATTTTTTAGGATTCCTGCCTCTCATCATGATCTTCCTGAGTACATGGCCCTCCAGAGCCTGCCAAAATATTCTCATTGACACCTGTAGGATGAGAAGAGAATAATGGGAAAGAGGATTAAGGGTATCTGCTGTCAGGAGAAGGTTGCTTTGATGGTGCCATCCTGAATATGCACTGGCATTTGATGGATTTTCTTTTAAACTCTTGGATTCAGCAAGTTTTATTAACATGAGCTTAAAAGGTTTTGTAATTTATAGAAATTACTCTGTGGTGAAGTGGTCTGCAGTGTATATTTGAGAATACTAAAGCAGTTGGCTGAATTAAGGCCTTACATATTAATGTATTTTTCAAAATTTTCCAGGAAAACATTTTTCATTCCATTTGTATTGAATTGAAAAACGAAACGTGGCAGACAGCTGGTGGGAGAATTTGGTCTGTAGCTGCTGCGGAGAGCAATGAGTTGCTTGAAACATGTGATAACTATTTAAATTAAAGAAAAACACTAATGACAGCTGAGAATATGCTGAGGTTAAAATGGGTCATGCAAAAGCATTTCAATTTCCCAACTGTACATACTTTCTCAAGCTCACACTGCAATAAGGCATGTATATGTGTGCATGGATGTTTGTGTGTGTGAGAGATGCAAAGAAAAACTTCAAGTTTGGAGTCCTACAAAATCCAAAGCAATGATGGATGTTCTTGGAAAGTGGTGGTGAGACAAGCACATAATTGTGTTGGAGGGCCAGGAGGTCGCTCAGGGTCCTTCTGAGCACAGTGCTGTGCTCAGCCCAGTATTCAAGTGTGGTTTCTTGGCTGAAATTTATGTTTCTTGTTCCACATTTGGGGTTTCTGGCACTTGTGTTAGAGCATTGTTGGATGGATTTGTCCAGCAGGGTAGGTTTCACAGCAAAGACAGTTTAACAGAGATGGATAAAGCAGAAGCCATTTCTTCTGGGGGCTTTCTGCCCCCATCCAGGAGCCTGCATGAATATTCAAAACTCTGCCTGTGACTGAGATGCCTTCGGGTTATGCTGTTGGTAGGACAGATGCTGACAGCCCTGGGGGAGGATTTTTGCTGCAGGGTTTTGCTGTGTGCATGGAAAGGTTGGAAGAAGAGGCAGCTGTGGATTGTGGTCCAAGAGCAATTCCAAACCTTAGTGCTTTGTCTCCAAAGCAGTTCAGCCTCTTTACTATGGAAAGACATATATAGAGAGAGGTGAGCCTTGGAGGGCAAACAAGTATCCTGGCATGTATGAAATCCACCCTCCTTTAGCAGGGGGTCTGGATTCCCTTGGTTGCCTCCCATCTGCTTGAATAGGATGAAGTTGGTTTTTGCAGGTAGGAGGAGGAGGGTCAAAACTCTTATGAGCTCTGCCTCTGGTCTCCAGCACTGCCAGTGTTTTGTGTAACTTGACATCTAGATTGTTCTTCCTCTTGCCTTGTTTTAATTTCCTGTGGCTGCAGGAATGCTGCAAGGCAAGGGGGAAACTCTCATCTCTGGGGTTGTGGCATTTCCCCTCTGTTTCTCATTCTGTGTCCTTCCCAAATGGAGCAAGTGAACATACAAGGAAGCAATTTTGGAAGGTAACTGCTGAAGCTGCCAAACTGCCTGTCTTTCTCTCACACTGTTGCCTTAAGGTAGAAAATGAGGCAAGAAGCAAATTTACACATTGAAACCTTTCAGTTACTGTTGTTAGGGTTGCTGAGGGTCTGTAGGAGCACAGGAAAGTGAGGAATTACATTTCAGGCTGTCTTCAGGAGAGAAAAGCCTTTCTTAGCTCATACATCATGACAAGTTTGCATTTTCAGCAGAAACACTGAGTTATTAACTTTCCTTCCCTTCTTCTTTCCCCAGCATTATCACGCTTTTTCCAGCAGCCGGAGTCGCAGACAGTGGAAGAAAATGGCATGGCCCGGTTTGAGTGCCGGATCGAGGGGCTGCCCTCCCCTGTCATCACCTGGGAGAAGGACCATGAAGCTGTTCCAGCAGAACCCAGGTGATTCCCTGCTTGCTTTCTTGGGTCTGCTTGAAAAAGAGCAAAGCAAAACCTGGCCATTTAGGATGTGGAAATCATTCTATAAAATGGTAGAAAGACAAGAGATGTGATACCAGGTTTAGACCTGATAACTAATTGATATTAAAGGAGGTATTCAAGGGACTGAGGAAAAAAGGTCCATAAACATCTAAATAAAATGAACTTCCCCCCATATATTCAAACCACCAAGGGAAAAACAACTCTTGCTACTGTGCTAGTTATTACTGCTCAGAACCTGCACCCTGCAAAGGCCTGTGTGTACCCAGGATGGGGCATGGCAAGGCATGGATGCTTTAGCTTGTCCTCTTGTGTGAAATGACATGGAATTTGTTGGGTTATTGGGGCTTGGGCTGAGGAGTATTGACCTGGGCATATCCTCCATTATGTGGATTTTCTTTGATTTTGGTTATGGTTTTAATGGGAGGTCTTTTCCTTTGTCTTACTCCCATGTTTAGACATCATCTAGTAAAAATGCTGAATTTTCTTTTTCTGGAGAAAAGAGGAGAGTCCTAAAGCATGATACTTTTTCCTTCACGAAAGTCAGTTAGAGAGGAGGGGATAAACCATTAGCTGTTTGTCTGTGGACATCACTTCTGCAGAGGATCAATAACTGAATTGTCCTTTAGTTCTTAAAAACTTCTTTTCTGTTCTTCAGAAAGAGGTGCTTCCCTCCTGGGGAAGTTAATCCAAGTGACAGAAGAGGAAAAAAAGAGGAGGGTGTTGGGGAGGAAGTTTAGAAATACTTCTGAAGCAGTGGCTGTTTCTATAAGAATACCCACTTATATCCTTGAGTCTGGAGTGTGGCATCTAAAAGTTCATAGGAGGCTGTTGAGAAGAAAATTAATAAAAAAGGAAGGAAAAACCCCAGGAAAATAAGGGATTGCAGGGAGAAGTGTGTCATAGATACAATGGCTTTTTAATGAGACAGCTCGATGGATATTGTGAAATTACTTGCTCAGAGATTGCTTTCATCACGGGCAGCCTGAAAATTGTTTTCCTTGTAAAAGCCAAGCCATAATCTCTATCTGCAGATCTTGCTTTTTAAATCATGTTCTAGCTAATATGCTTTTTCAGAAGGATTTGGTTTTTTTGTTGTTGTCTAGTTGTTGTTGGATTTAATATAACCGGCTTTCGAAGGAATTAAGTGAATTCCAGGAAATGTTGGCCGCCAACCAGAACTCTCTGTTATCCTCCCTGCATTGTGCCTAAGGATGGGATCTCAGGCTGGCCTGATTACTGTGGGCTCCCTCCTGGGCACACTTGGGATGAGCCTGTGAAAATGCAACCCTTTGGCTGGGCAGGTGTCAGGGTGATGATTTCACACTCCAGAATAGCAGGGCTGGGAGGGTGTGCAAAGTCAGGCTCAGGGACTGGAGGTACAGCCCTGGAGTAGTGCTACATCAGTGTTTGTGATTTAAGAGGGATAGAATAATCATGTTAAACTCACATTGCTTTTCCCTTTTCTTGCTTTTCTTTTCCCCCTCTCTTTTCTTCCTTTCCCCCTCTTTTTAACTCTTCCCCCTCCACTTTTCTTTGTTGTTCTCACCTTTGGGCACTCTTTTCAGCCTTTGCCAGGATACAGGTTCTAGCATGGTGCTACCTCAAAGGTACTGAGAGCTGATCTTAAAAAAGTATTTAAACAACCTACAGGGTACTAAAGTGCTGATTGGTGTTTTTGGAATACATTTCCTGTCCCTCTTCAGGAAAAAATTCTAAATTACCTATGTGAGTAAGGCACAGATTATTCTGCAGTTCTGTCTCACAGTGAGTAAACACAGTCTTAAATCTGCAGCAGCTGCTGAAAGGTGGCTCACAGGATTTCTCTTGATTGCAGTTGATTTGGGGTGTGTGCAACATCTCTTGGCATAATCTCTGGTTTATGTGCTGGCTGGGTTTCACATCAGGCTCCAAAATTCTGTTTATTTTCTCTAGAGCCAAGATGAGCACTTGCTGGGAACTGGAGGTCTTTGGAGGTCTGCGCAGCAAATCCATAACCTACAGACCACATGCTCTGCAATCACAGTATATTTGTCCACATTTTGGCTAAGTGAGGGTTTTATTTCTGTGTGTAGAGTTTTATTTCTGTGTTGTGTCAGGAATGCCTTGACATGGCTCATGTTCATGTACAGGACTCTGGAGCTGTGAGCAAAAGGGCTTCCAAACTGAGCCTGCAACTGAGCTGCAGGTTCCTCACTGTGCTCAGGACAGCTTTGGGCTGTCCTAGGCACCTTCAAAAGGCTGAAAGTAGGGTGTGCTGGCAGTTTACCAGGGAGAAGGTAAGAAAGGGAATAGGGCTGTTAATGCTGGGATATTCTCTGAGCTGTAGGGCTGCACGGTTTGGGCGTGAGGCAGTGGCACTTGATTTCAGCTCTTGGGCACTGCCCTGGTGAGCAGCCCTGAGCCCCTCAGTGCTGTCAGGGAGGGGAAGAGCTCTGTGGGTGTGCCCTGCTGTTCTTGCTGCCTTTGGAGCCATGGCAGTTGGCTCTGCTCTGAGTGTGCTGTCCTTCAGTGTAATCCAGGTGGGGACTTGCCTTTCGCCCCCATCAAGGCAACCTGAGATCCTGACACTGCAGCTATCAACAGCAAAACTCCTGGGACTGCCAAGGTTCCAGCGTTTCTGTTGCTTCCAGGGCCTTTGTCTGTCTGTCCTTTAGCTTTTGTTTCCTGCTTAATCCTTGGTGAAGGTGAGCAGACAAAGATTTTCGCTTTGTGTGGAAGAAAAGCTCTGACAACTGTCTGCTGTGAGTCATCAGGCAAATTTCCTTACAGGGAGCCTGGGGATGGAGCAAATGCCCTTGCAGGCTGCCTGAAGGCTTCTAGTTCAGGGCTGCTGGGACCCTGAAGAGCTGGAGGCTTTGTGAGCAGCTGGGAGAAATGGTGGATAGAGAAATCTGCTTTTCTTCCCTCCTTGCTTCCCCAGCAGAGCAATCCTCACTGCTGCCATGTTTTCCCAACAGGATGTATGGCAATGAGTAGATCTCTACCACTGGTACTGAGGGGACTGTCTCAAGCTCTTTTGATGAAGTCTCCCCATTCAACTCCCTTGTTTCCAGCTCCTGCTCTCTTTAGAGACACAGTGGCTTTTTTTGTGTCCTCAAGAGAAGCTGGGTCCTGAATGCCCTGGTGTAGTGACCCTGCTCTGAGAGAAGAAAGGCCAGAGACCAGAGGTCTGTCCTAGCCTCAGTGAATCTGTGATAGATCGCTGAAGTGTCTTTTTGTGGCTGGGAGATGCCTTGCCTGGTGTTTGAAATATGTTGATATTAATTACAGACTCAAATAGCAGATGCACGACAAAAATAAATATTATCGCAGTGGGAGGCTTTCCCTCTATGGAACTGAGAGGATGCAAATATTTGTCATCCTTCTCCTGAGTCCTGATGAGGCATCCTGATGAGGGCTTTTGGGTATCACCTCCTCTGAGGTCTTTTGGAGCTTGATCCTGAAAAATGTCTTTGTGAGTAGCAGGAATGTGGCTTTAGGGATGTAAGGCATTGCATTTGTGTACGTGGGAAGCTTCAGCCTGTCTGTGTCCATGAATCAGGCTGTAGGATTGCTTCAGTGGAGACAGAATGGTCACTGGAGGAGCTCTTGTAGCTTTTCCTTCTTCATCAGCTGTGAAGGACAAGACATGATGAGCTCAACTGCAGTAGCTGTGGTCCAGGATCGATGCAAGACTCACAGCAAGGATATTTGTCTCTGGAACAGACTCCTTAGGGCAAGGGAGGTGTTTCCATGAGTGCACATTTAGGATAAATGTCTGCAGGAGCAGGCATACCGTTGGTGACCATGGCTTGAATGCTGGATGAGTGACCTGTTAAGGTCTTTCTGGCTCCATGATCCTCGTTCATGGCACTCCAGCTGTCTCAGCACCTGGAGAACCACAGTTTGACTTACTGTGGTCTTTGTGGATGGCAGGACTGGCATTCATGGTTATAACTTGCCTTTGTGCTGTTGCTGTGGAATAGCTGCTATCCCTCCCCTTAGCAATTGCCTTTGAATGTGTCCTCTTCATAATGAAGACTGATAACCCAGGGCTGCCTGTCAAACCTCGGCAGCTCTGTTTATAGAGGCTTGCAATTAAAAATGGATCTCATATATAATTAAAAAGGATCACGTAGGCTTTGCGCCTTGCATTCAAGAATAAAGAGGCTGCCATCTAGGAATCCAGGCAGAAAATGGAGATGCTGACAGCCTGCTCCTACTTTTATGCTAATTGCTAATCATCTGCTTTGTTCAGTGTAATGCAGCAAGGATTGTGTTCATGTCGTGAGCAATGTAGCCATTTCACTCTGTGGAAGTGTTTCTCAGTAACATCCCATGGGCAAATCAGAGGATACTGAATGCCCAGCTGTGAGTTTGTCACCTTGTGAGAGCCAGAAACATGTGGAAGAAGGAAAGGAGCAGAAATGATGCAGGTTCAGGTGGCTGTGTCGTGGCTGCTTTGGCCCATGGAAGTGCAGCTGTGTATCAACTGGTCCCTTTTCATGTACTTGAGCTGCAGCAAGAAAAAGATGATGTTCAGACTTCTTTGCAGTGTTTTTTTTGTCTGGCAACCAAACCTTTGTAAAAAGCAAGTGCTGAACGTGGCTGTAGCATGTGCTCAAGCTTGGGGACATCTACAAATGTGTATGTAGAAGTGTGAGTGTGCAGAGTTGGTTTGTACTGGCCAGTTGGTTTGTGCCAGCAAAGTCCTGTTAGTCTGGTCTCCCAAAAGCAGCTTTTAAATTTGGAAGACTCTGAGGTGATGGATAGGTCTGTACCTACTGCTTTTTGAGAACCACGGGTTGGGTTGCTCAGAGGTCTCCTGATCCCTTTCTGCTGTCATTACCAGGACCTGCACGTGAGAGATTTTTCGGGAGAAAAAGAAGGGATAAAAGGACTTTGGGGTGAGGAATATCTGGGGTAAGGCATAGCCTGTCTCACACTCTTCCTTTTGGTTACTCAGGTTTATAACTCTTCCCAATGGTGTCCTCCAAATCGTGGATGTGCAGGAGAGCGATGCTGGGATTTACCACTGCGTGGCAACCAACGCCGCCCGAAAGCGCTACAGCAACGATGCCACCCTCAGTGTGGTGAAAGGTGAGGGAGGTGCTGCCAGCAGCCTCTTGGGCTGGGTGCAGGTCTGCCAGGTAATCATTGTGTGTGGTGGGGGAGCTGGGCTCAAATACCAGTGGCCATCTCCCCTCCTGGTGTGCTCTGCACGTGGCCAGCTTTGGTTAAAACTTGCAGAGAAGCATTTCATGGAAGGTTTCTCTTTGCTGGTGATGGAATAAGGAGACTGTGTTGGGAGGACTCCTTTGTGCTCTGGGGTGATTAGAAGGGATGAGGCAGCCCATTTGCTCCTTGGGGAGGGCAGCATTTTTGGTGGTGTTCTCTGCAGTGGCATTGGATAGCAAGAGAAGCAAGGGCTGGCATGAACAGACAAAGGTGCTTCCCAGGCAAGCGAGAGAAATAGCTGGAGGCTGGAGTAGCTGGCAGGACAGTGTTTATCCAGGGTGCCCAGCACAGTCCAGAGGAGGCTGAGCACAGTGACATGCAACTTGTGTTCTGTGTCCATATTGCTGGTGATCTGCTGAGCTCCAGAGATCTTTATGTGGTATTTGGGAACAGACCCAGCTGGGATTTCTCCTGGTGATACAGGCCTTTGGAGCAAAGCTTTGGCTGTGAGCTGTCCTTCACCTCCTAGTCTGGGCCTCAGCCTCTGAGTGCATTTTCCTTTGTAAGCCAAGAGTGCAGTGGGCAAGTCTGGACATGAGGACATAGCTGAGAGCCTGAGTGCAGTGGGGGTCTCCAGGCTCCAGCATCCTTCCCAGCATGCCTGGCTGCCTCCCCAGCTTTGTATCATCCTGTTCTGCAAATGGACAAGCTCACCAGGGCTGGGAGTCTGGCTAAGCTGTCCCTTCTCTCAGGACAGTGCCCCCTGCCACATCTGTCTCCTGTTCATGCTGACCCCAGTATCTTGCAGGCAGCTTTAACCTTGAAAGCTCTGAAATCCTTCCCAGCCCCTTCCGTCTTTGTTTAGGATTGTGTTGCTTGGCATTCTGCTCCCAATGTATTTTCCCAGCGATGGCTTTGCTGTTTATCCATCAGCAGGGAGTGTAATTAACTGTGGAGCCTGAGAACACACCTCTGATCAATGGATTGTGTCATGGAGGTAATCTGGGTGGAATCTGCAGAGAATTCGTGAGCGGTTGAATGCTCTGTATCTAATTGCCAGCCCCTGCCAGATCCTCTGTGTGTTTAATGAAGCTGGGAGCCTCAGGGAGCGCTTCCTATGGGCAGTTCCAGCTCCAGAGACAGCTCCTGTGCTGGCTCTGGTGTGCTATTGATAACTAATATCGATCAAGCTGCAAAGGTGAATTTGATGTCCTTGGCATCATAACTCATTCTGCATAATTGCATCTTGTAGCTCTGCAATGTTTAATCTGCTTTGCAAATGGAGGCAGTGGAAGAGGTTAAATGGGAAGCGTTCCTTCTGGAGCACCAGCCGGCCCGAGCAGATTTCTGCCTGGAGTTCTCACCCAAATCTCTCTTCTGCAGCACCACACCACCCGCTGGCTGCTAAAACAAATATGTGAGGTTGAGTTTTTCACCAGATTGAGCTGATAGTGATGAAAAACATGCCTGTTAAATCTCTGGGGTTTTTTATAATTGGGGAGAAGTATCTCTGAGACAGATGGGAAACTGCAGTGACCTGTGCAGGCTGTAAACTCCTCCGTGAGTGACTGGCATGGTATTGATCCTTTTTTGTTTCAGCACTTCACCATCAGAGCACATTTTTGGATGCCTGGACTGGCTTGAGGAGTCTTTTCCTCCCTGTTCAGAAGCAGCTGATAATAGTTGGAGTGAACTGGTCAGGCAGAAATCCTTTCCTGATTGTGAAAAATAAAACCAAACTAAACCGAAACAAAGAATCATAGGGGAAAAAAAAAACAACCCAAAATAAACTGAAAGACAGACAACAAAAGAACAATAGACTGAAGTACAGTTATTTAGTGTTGCTTAGTTGGAAATTTTAGGGACCAAACTCCCGTGTGTCTGCAGACAGGAGCGACTAAACTGCTTCTTCGCTCCCTGCTCCTGGCAAGGGACTCCTTTGTGCCAAGATAAGGTGACAGTCCAGCCTTTCAGTCCCACTGCACTGCCAGGGCCCATGGAAAAGGTTTGTGCAGTGGGACCTTGTGTCTCCTTATCTGCTGTCCCACTGGCAGCACTGGCAGTGCTGTGTTATGATGCTGAAGGTTGTGCTCCTGGTAGATTTTGGGGTCTTGCTGGTGATAATGCAAATGCTTCCAAGGATCTGGTCTGGGAACATTTTGTGTTCATGCCTCTGCCTTCCAGACAGGGCTGGATTTGAACGAGCTGTGCATAGCAAAAGAATCAGTTTTCCTGTAGCTCTTCTGCCCAGTTGTCCTGTTCCTCCCCCCTCCCTCCCGGTTCCTTGTACGATGGCTGGGAGTTGTTCCCTCTCCCTTATTAAAGGCCTTTTCCCAGTAAAAACAGCAATTAACATGACCCCTTTCTGTCATATCTGCACAGTCTAAAAACTCCAAAAGTGTCATTTCCCTGGGCAGTGTGACTTCCCTATCTTGGGGGGAATCAGGCTGTGCTGTGTGTCCGTGGCTGAGCACATGCTGGCCGTGGCCAGGCAGGGCAGGCGGGGCTGCAGATGTTTTGGCTGTGCAGACTTCATGGTGCAAATTTCCAGACCTTCCCTGGGGAAGTGGCGTTTGGAGCTGGAAGGGAAGAGAGCAGACGGGACAGCGGGATGCGGTCACGCAGCCCTGAAACAGAGCCTGCTGCTGAAACAGGGATAGCTTGGGTTTTCCTCTTGGATCTCCACTGCTTCCCAGTGCACAGAGTGCTAAACACATCTGGCAGCTCTGTCCCTTCACCCCTCACCTGGACAGGTGATGAATGAACCCTGTGTCTCTCTCTGCCAAAAGGGCGTTAGGAGCTGGCTGTGGGATGCTTTCCCAGGCCCTGGCCATGCATGCTGCCTTTCCTTGGGGTCAGCTGTGTCTTGTTCCTTGTAGCTCCTTTTTCTGGAAGCAGGCTCTGGAGCCCTACTCTGAACTTGTAGATAAAGAACTAATTCCTTGTGTGTCCTGGTCGTGTTCCCAGGTTCTTGACATACACACAGAAGTGTTGCCATGCTTCATAAAGCAGCTCTCAAAGAAGAGTAGCAGAAGGGCTTTGAGGAACGTGATGTGCGGTCTCAGCAGGTCACTTTGCCTGTCACTTCACTTTCCCCCTCCATGTCACACACATGCCTGCTCTGTGTGTTTTCATGGGAATAGGGACTCCCTCTTGCTGTGTATTTGCCCCACAACTGGCACAATGTAGCACAAATAACAGTCAGAAGCTGTGCTGCTGCAAGAACAGTAGATTTTTACAAAGATTTGATCTATTCTGTTTTTAAATGTCACAAGGAGTGTTGCTCCCCCTAATTTCCATTGCATCTTCCCCATTTAATGAATGCTGGGATCTCTTCTTCACAGCTAACCCAATTTTCACTTCCCTGCAATCCATCCTATTAGTTTTAGTTGCAAAGCATTGGGAATCTTGAAAAAATTGTCATTCCTCCTTATTTTTTTATCCCTTTGAGTATGTATAAGCAGTATGGTGTCTCCCAAGTGACCTAAAAATCTTGGCAATTTTAGTATAGAATAGTCTTTTTCCACTGGAGTGGGAGAAACAAATTTGAGATCCTGACCCCAGAGCTCTTTCATGAAGATCTCAGTGTTTGTGTCTTTTCATATTTATTGGTTATTGCAGAAGGATTGTCAAAGCATGGTCCTGGGAGACAGGACTCCTTGCTTCTCTCTCCCTCTCTGTTGTTGGGCTGCAGAAGAGAATCAGTTCCTCAACTGGAAATTTCTGTAAAGAGGAATAATGTAATAAATAGCCTTGGAGTGGGTCAGTCTGGAGAATGATTAAGGACATTTGGTGCTGGAGGGCATCTAGGGGCACATACAGAGAGAGGTGTGGGCATGTATCTCAGCGTGGGTGTGGGATTTCCCTCCTCGTGTCCTCCGGACCCTCTTCCTGGTCTGTGCATGTGGGGTGGCTGTGACTGCTGTGACATCTGTGGGAAAAACCTTTGCCTTAAACCAGATAGGCAAGAATCAGAATCTCCCTGTGCTGCAATAATGCAGGAACTGGAGAACAGAGCAGGGTGGTGGGTGGAAGTCTGGGCTGAGCAACCACGGAGGAGTCTCCCAGCAGCTGAGCACATCCCCCGCGAGCTGGGATTTAGTGCCGTGTTATTAGAGATGACACTGCGAGATTGCCGTTGGCAGAACATCATTTACACTGACAGTTGTAGCAGCTTGCTGCAGCAGTGTCCCAGGAAATGGATTTTTCAGCCAAATATTTGTATGAATGTGATAACAGGGACAGAGCTTGGAGGCTGCTGAAGCACCTTCAGTTTTTTTGTTCTTTTGGTGTTTGTGCTGCAGTGGCTTGCAGGTACCAACATAGAGCCTGGGATGGTTCCTGCTCCAGAGGGCTGTAGGAAAACAGAGCTCTTGACTGGGGTGAGCTTTAGGGATGGAGGGGAAGGTGGTGATGAAGTGAGCAACACTCACAGTTGGCCACCACCTCGCAGAAACAGACGTGCTGTTACCACAAGTGGATTTTCAGTCCCTGCATGTGCGAATGACGTGCTGGATGCTGGCTTGGCACTCAGCCTGAGCCCTGGCCACGTGCTCTGCTCCCCTCGCGGCTTCCAGCACAGGTACTGGGCAGCCAGGGGACAGGGAACTTTGGATTTGGGTCAGTGCTGCTCTGGGCTGGCCTCCCTGACTGCAGCTGGGCATTGATCCTGTGTGTGCTGCCAGCGACAGTGAAGGGCAGCATTAACCAGAGTGGAGGGATGGTCCAACCTGGATTAGGGTGGTCTTCCTCCAGCAGGAACCCATTGCAGGGACAGCAGGGGTTGTCCCCTGTGTGGTTGAGGGGGTAGAGCTATCCACAGCTGTGTGTGGGCATGGCACACTTCTGGGAGGCATGAGTTGTAGGCATGTGTAGGGAAAGAAAGTGTGGGGTGGGATAACACAACTACATTTTTGCTGTGA